CCTCCCAAGTAGCTGGGACCACAGGTGCCTGCCACAACGCCTGGCTATTTTTTGGTTGCAGCCGTCATTGTTGTTTGGCGGGTCCGGGCTGGTGATTCGAACCCGCCACCTTAGGTGTATGTGGCTGGCGTCTTAGCCACTTGAGCCACAGGCGCCGAGCCTTGGATTTTGGTTTTAATAAAGCTTATCATGCCCGTGGTAAGAGCCACGCTCTGGCATTTGCTAAATACAGAACTCACCCTTTTCACTGACTCACCGGAAGCCAGTCTGACTCAGTTCTTGACACCAAGGAGGTAGCTCAACCCAAGCGCCAGGAGGCGGGGAGAGATGCGAGGATAGTAGGACGGGCCGGCAAGAAATAAACCAATAGGAACGCATATCACCAGTCACGTCTGGCTACTGCACAAGAGCTGGGACGCTCATCGGTCTGTAGTCCCCGTTAATGGGGGAGAAAACTTTCCAGGGTGGCGTTCTCTGTGAACTGCTGTAGCGATGGCCCGGAGCTTCGCAGCCTTCGGGCTCTGGCTGCTGCTCTGGGTCCTGTGGCACTCGCCGAGAACCGCAGGTAGGTCCACAGGTAGGCGGGGGAGGAGGCAGGGCTGCTCATCCCTGGATAGTAGTCGCCGATCTGCTCCCGGGGCGCCCACAACATCCTGGGGCTGTATTTCTAAAGCTCCCCTGAGCGTTCCTTTGTAAAATGCCGGTTCATCTGTTGATTTAAGAGATTTATAGTGAAGGCCAGTTAGGCGCAGCGCCGGCGCTCCTGCCTCGCATCCTGTCCAACACCCACTCCGCGCAGCGCAGAGAAAAACTTCACGTGCTCCCTTCCTGGCACGTACTCCGGGCCCGGCGCTGAGGCCCGTGACTGTAACCCCCCAGCACTCTGGGAGGCCCAGGCGGAAAGATTGCTTTAGCACAGGAGTTTGAGACCAGCCTGAGCAAGGCGAGACCCATCTCTACTAAGAATAAAAAAAATTAGCTGGGCGAGGTGGCTGGCTCTTGTAGTTCCAGCCACTCCAGGGCTGTGGCAGGAAACTCGCTTGAGCCTAGGAGTTTGAGGATGCCGTGAGCTATGAGTAGGGTGACCAGATTTTAACATTTGTAACGCGGGACAACATGGCCGGGGAGCAGGGCCGGGACGGGGCGGGGCGGGGCACGGGGCAGAGGACGGGGTAGGGCAGGGCCTGACAACAATGCAAACTTTGATAAGCACTTCTCGATAATCACTTCTCAACAATTATTTGTTATTATTATAGTTTAACATTATAAAATTAACAAAAATAATATAAAACTCATATCCTGGTGAAATAGCCACATGGCAGCCGAAAACTGTGTATTCCCTTCCTGTTCTCTCGCCCGCTTGTGCAGTCTTTCCCAAAATCGGGACTTTTAAAAAACGCCGCGGGACGGGGGACAAATTGTTAAAAAGCGGGACTGTCCCGCCAAAAGCAGGACGTCTGGTCATCCTAGCTATGAGCTATCTAGCTAGGGCGACAGAGTGGGACTCTATCTCAACAAACAGCCACACAAACTCCACCTGCATCTCAGAGATGCAGCGATGTCTTTATTGAGAATGGGAGGGGAGTGTTTTAACCCCACGGTGACAATCAAACGTTCTCTTTTACATTTTTGGGAATGCTGATAGACGTATTCTGCCTGATCTATCCAACAGAAAACTAAAAGGCTGAAACCTCTGAAAAGATATTTAAACTCATTCCCAACTAGAAGAATAGAACTTAAACAACAATGGGATATCACTTGACACTTCTTAGATTGGCCAAAATAGATCCAGGATGTCAAGGGGTGGTGTAAGGGCTTGGAAATATAGGAGACCTAGGTGACCCAAAGCTGGGAACTCACCGTGGAGAATCGGGCAGCCACATGGAGCAGACTAGCCATGCTCATAGCGATGTGGAAGGGTCTTGAAAGCGTAGTGCCAAGAAGAGAAACAGTGAGACATGTAACTCAGTACCACTGCTGTACTTTTGAGAAACAAAGCAAGACAAACTCTTTCAAAGAATGAACATGCAGACTAGTTAGACAGCTTCCAATGGTTGCTTGAGCAGTGAGGGAAATGGAAATAAAAAGGAATAACAGTATTTCTGTATATTTCAATGAGCAATATGAAAATAAAATTAAAAAAATATATCACTTACCACACTATCAAAAAGAATAAAATATTTAAGAATAAATTTAACAAAAGGAACACAAAATATATACTCTGGAAATGCAAAATATTACTGAAAGAAATTTGAGATGATAAAAATAAATGAAATGGAAAAAGCACCCTGTCTCAGTCTACTTGGACTGCCATAGTAAGATCACAGACTGGGTGACTTAAACAGAAACTTTTTCTAACAGTTTTGGAGGCTGGGAAGTCCAAGATGATGGTGTAGCTGATTTGGTGAGGGCTCTATTTCTGGTTTGCGTAAGGACATCTTCTTACTGTATCTTCACATGGTAAAGAGAGAGAGAGATCTCTCTCCTGCCTTTTCTGATAAGAATTCCTATCCCATTCATGAGGACTGCCCACTTATAACCTAATCACCTCCCCCTGACCTACCTCCAAATGCCATCACATTAGGGGTTAGGCCTCAACATATGAATTACGGGAGGACATAAACATTTAGTTCATAGCACATCCAAGAACACATACATAGGTTGGAAAACTTAATATTAAGATGGCAATACTCCCCCATTGATCTGATTCCTATCAGATTATCAGGTGACTTCTTTATAGAAATTAGTAAGTCAATTCTAAAATTCAAATGGAATTGACAGAGACCCAGAATAGCCAAAGTTGGAGGGCTCTCATGGATTGATAAGGGTACATGAACTAAGGATCTCTGTACTAAGGATCCCACCCCTAAAAGGCATTTGTTTCCAATTACATGGTAGTGTCTGAGAGAGCCAGACCTGTGTATTTTGTAAGGGTCTCCCTAACTGTTTCCTTACTGCCACAGGTTTTCTGAAAGTGGAGGTGGCAGGGAGTCACCAGGCTGTGTTTCTGCATGAAAATGCGACCATCTTATGCAAGTTTTCTGGTTCTCCACACTTGGACATCAATATTACGGGTATTACTTGGTTTTGGAAGAGTGATATACGTGGAAAAGAGGTCAAGCTGTTTGAACTTTATGGAGATCACCAAAAGACACTCCGATCTGGAGCCATCGTGTATCCATGGGGGCTGGAGAAGGGGGATGCCTCACTGCAGCTGCTTGGAGTCCAGCTGGGGGATGCAGGAGAGTACCGATGTCAGGTGGTGGTCACTCCTGAGGAGGCACAGGGAAGTGTCCGGATCAACGTTGTGGGTGAGTGTCTGAGGGAAGTACCCTGTGGTTCCCATGGTGCTGGGATTTGGGATGGAGATGTTAGGTGGGCTGGTGGAAGCATGGGCCTGGGAGACAGACAGGTAGGATTTGAGTCCTAGGCTTCCATAGACATTTGGACAATTTGGGGCAAGTTATCAATCACCCTGAACCTCAATGTGCTTCCCTCTACACAAAGTTAACAGTACCTACTTAAGGGGATTTTAGGGAACAATCTATGAAAAATGTGGGTAAAATGTTTAGCATAGTGGTTGGCCCATAGTAACTGCTCAGTAAAAGATAGCCCTACTAATTATTACCTAATTCACCTATTGTATGCACAGTTCTAAGTCTCGACTGAAGAGGTCCCTATAAAAAGTATCTGGGAAAGGAAAGAGATGGCTGGGCTCAGGTTCCACAAATCTGAATCTTAATCTAGCCTTGCAGCTTCTATGCAGTGGTTGGGCCAACAACCGTTTAGTATCTTTGGGCTTGAATTTTCCCATATACAAAATGGGGTGTTAACTCAGACCTGCCTCAAAATAAGATAATGTGTGAAAATGTCCAGCTAAGTACCTGTTGTGAGGTAGATCAGCTCTCAGTCAAGACTTAGAACAGTAACAGCATCCCCCTGCCCCGCACCTCTTTGAGCTCCACTTTCTTCTATTATAAAATGGTCTGATAATGCATGGCTGAGCTTGGTGGATGTATTAGTTTGCAAAAGACTGCCACAAAATACCACAAAGTTAAACAACATTTATTTTCTTACAACTCTGGAGGCTAGAAGTCTGAGATCAGGCTGGATGCCTATAGCTCAACCGGCTAAGGCGCCAGCCACATACACCTAAGGTCGCGGGTTCGAATCCCCAGCCTGGACCCGCCAAACAACAATGACGGCTGCAACCAAAAAATAGCCGGGCGTTGTGGCGGGTGCCTGTGGTCCCAGCTACT